TATTTTTATTTTTTGAATGTTGAAATTCAAACCCCACATCTCAAATTAATATAAAAAGGTTTTTATGAGAAATTAGTAGCCATTAGGCATCAAAGCTGTTCTCTTATATCACTGAATTTAATTGAAGGTACCTAAAAATGTTTCATGTGATTGCTGAGAAAGGTTGTGTATTTGTTGAGAAATGTTAGTAAGGAAAAATTATTTTTATTTGTTTGATTTTGCTGAAATAGGTGGTCTTTATGGCACAAAAAACGAAATAAAATTCTTTTCAATATGATTATTAGTACTAGCAGGGAAGCTGGGGAGCCTGGGGTCTTTTGTAAAATAGTCAATCAGGCCCCTTGAATTTTAATCTTTAATTTTTTTTTCATACCATTTTAGTTCTTTTTTTAGTTATGTTTTTATATTGAAGACCTTTTTTTTTGTGATGATGAGAAATACAATGACAATAGAGATGACATATAAAAAATTTTAAGATTAATTACATAAAAATATGTTTATTATAATTTTTTATAGTGTTTGTTTCTTAATATATTTTTTACATTTTTATTTTTTATTATACTTAATATATATTCATTTTTGTTGATCAATTTATGGTGTTTACGTTACGTTAATAATAGTGTATTACTTAAGAGTTCAAACTAACAAATCTTATTTAGAATAATTCTTTTTTTCAAAAATTTTCACCACATAGACTTTTTAATAGACCAAAAAATATACCATTTCTTAATAAAAGATTCAAAGTTTCATCTTGCTCCCACCCTAGTTTTTTTGGCTCCACTACTAATTATTACTAAAAAAAAGTTATGAAATAAGAAGAATAATATTGAGAATTTTCATTTATTTCTCAAATAATATTGTAAAATTACATATTAAGTTGATAATAAAAATGATTTAAGGATTTGTATATGAGTTTCTTCAAACCATGCAAAAAATCTAAACATAATATCCAAGTAATTAAGTACAATAAGTTAAAAACCTTAATTTAGGGTTAATGTTAGATATTCAAATATCTGTAATACAAGTAGTTAACTCTTTAATATATGCTAAAAGAAATTAAGTATAATAAAGCGGGCTATCCTTAATTATATAGTTTATTATTTGATATACAAAAAAAAAAAAAAAACATTATTAAACAGACCTTAATTAATTGACCAGAATAATTTAGGGGTAAACATAATGAAAAGTGCTAAGTACAGGGGCTAATGCTAGGCTAAATGTAAAAATGAGTCATTACGAGAACACGACACATGAGCATTAGTTTTTTAGGGATTGGCAGTCGTTATCATGTCTATTTACAACATCATTTTTCATATATTCTTCAGTGTGCTAGCAAATTACAAAAAAAAAAAAAATCTGAAAAGGAAGCAAGAATGCTCAATTCAAAACTCAATAGGATATTGGAGAAAATTAACGAATTATTTGTTTACATCAAATTACTGGCTAACAAAAGTGCTTCGGATGGCTGTAATATGGTTTGAAAACAGATGGGCCAATTTTGTCAATAAATTTTTAAGAGGTAAGGGAAAAATACCCTATAAGAGAGTTCATGAAACCAATTTAGAAAATTTAAGAAATACGAGATTCATACACTTAGATTCACCTGAAATATAAGTCAAATGATTTAAAAAATAAAAGTATTTAAGAAATAAGGAAAAATTACCTTATCATAAAATATATAATATTAACTTAAAATCACTGTTTGTTAAAAAAAATTATTGAAAATTTCTAAAATTTTCTTCAATAAGTTTTACCAAAATTTAAAATCTTATTGAAAGTAAGAGCAACACTTTTCTTTCTTTAATCAAAATATTAGTTAGAAAATCACATCAAAATTCAACTAAGTTTTCTTGTTGTAATTTTGAAATTTCTTGATGTTAATTTATATACAATTTACAAAACAATGGAATACAATTTTGCCAATACATTACAATTTGTGCCTACAGGCTGCAGTCACTCTTAATTAAGAGATGCAATACTGGACCAAATCATAAAAGTCATTTATATATGCTAAGAAGCCATATAGGCATGGCTTCAGCCTTCAGGGCCTTGTGCAGCAGGGAATAACAAAAAGAAGTTAGTTAAGTACAATAATTTTAGGAGTAAGCAAGAAAATGTATTAATAAAAATTCTCTATTTTGCAAGTAAACTGCATTAAATTATAAAATTACAAGTAAAAATCATTAAATAGAAAGGCTGCCTAAGCCCACCAACAGGTCTCCCCAATTCTGATATTATGAGTCTTTATAGAATG